CTCCCCTGGGCCTGGCCCAGCAGCAAACAGGGCCAGGAAACTGAACCCCACCGGACTTGCAGGACTCATCCAGGACTGGCGGCCTGCTGCTCTTCAACAGCAGCCACACTGCAAATGCCAGTGTGGTCCAGTGAACATATGAACCGATGAAGCTGAAGCCTTTTACTGAATCACACCCTTCTTCCACCAAGGTCAGTATTGGGGCCCTTGGACGACCAAGGGGTAAAAGGAGTATTGAAGGATGATAGGGAAATGGCTGAGAAGCTAAATGCATTTTTTGCCTCAGTCTTCACTATCTTGCCCACTCCAGAACCACTGATTTCAGGAGGGGTGTTGGAAGACCTGAGTCAGATTGAGGTGACGAGAGAGGAGGTCCTAAAACTGATAGACAACTTAAAAACTGAAAAATCACCAGGCCCAGATGGCATACATCCGAGAGTTCTGAAAGAACTCAAATGTGAACTTGTGGATCTCCTGACAAAAATATGTAATCTTTCCTTGAAATCTGCCTCCATACCTGAGGATTGGAAGGTAGCTAATGTCACTCCCATCTTTAAAAAGGGTTCCAGAGGAGATCCGGGAAATTACAGGCCAGTCAGTCTGACGTCGATACCGGGTAAATTGGTGGAAACCATTATTAAGGAAAGAATTAGTAGGCACATGGATGAACAAAACCTATTGAGGCAGACTCAGCACGGTTTCTGTAAGGGAAGATCTTGTCTCACTAACCTGTTAGTGTTCTTTGAGGGGGTGAACAAACATGTGGACAAGGGGGATCCAATAGATATTTATTACGTTGACTTCCAGAAAGCTTTTGATAAAGTTCCTCATCAAAGGCTCCTAAGTAAGCTCAAAAATCATGGGATAGAAGGACAAGTCCTTTTATGGATCAAAAACTGGCTAGTTCATAGAAAACAGAGAGTGAGTGTAGGTGGGCAATTTTCTCAGTGGAGGGTGGTAAGCAGTGGGGTACCGCAGGGATCAGTACTTGGTCCACTGCTTTTTAACTTGTTCATTAATGATTTGGAGATGGGAGTAAGCAGTGAAGTGGCTAAATTTGCGGATGATACAAAGTTGTTCAGGGTGGTGAAAACCAGTGAGGATTGTGAGGCACTCCAAGGGGATCTGTCAAGGATGGGCGAGTGGGCGTCAACATGGCAAATGGGGTTCAATGTGGCCAAGTGCAAGGTGATGCACATTGGAGCCAAAAATCCTAAATATAAATACACATTGATGGGGTCTGAACTGGCAGAGACTGAGCAAGAGAGAGATCTTGGAGTTGTAGTGGATAACTCACTGAAAATGTCGAGACAGTGTGTGACTGCAATAAAGAAGGCCAATGCTATGCTGGGGATTATTAGGAAGGGTATTGAAAACAGATCAGCCAATATAATAATGCCCCTATATAAATCAATGGTGAGACCTCATTTGGAATACTGTGTGCAGTTCTGGGCACCACACCTTAAAAAGGATATTATAGCTTTGGAAAAAGTGCAGAAAAGGGCAACTCGAATGATAAAAGGGTTGGAACACTTTCCCTATGAGGAAAGGTTAAAGCGCTTAGGGCTCTTTAGCTTGGAGAAAAGACGACTGAGGGGTGACATGATCGAGGTTTATAAGATTATGCATGGGAAAGAGCAGGTAAAGAAAGAGGTACTTTTCTCCCTTTCTCACAATACAAGAACTCGTGGGCACTCCATGAAACTGCAGAGCGGTCGGGTTAGAACGGATAAAAGGAAGTACTTCTTCACCCAAAGAGTGATTAACACATGGAATTCACTGCCACAGGAAGTGGTGGGTGCTACAAGCATGGACGGCTTCAAAAGGGAATTAGATAAGCATATGGAGCAGAGGTCCATCAGCTAATGTCCTGGCCCCATTGGTGGACCTCCTGATGGCACTGGTATTTCTGGCCACTGTGTGACACAGAGTGTTGGACTGGATGGGCCTTTGGCCTGATCCAACATTGGCGTCTCTTATGTTCTTATGTTCTTATGTCTACGCAGACTGCCAGTGAGCCACAACCCCTCTCCTTCGTGGTCAGAGTTTCAAACTGGGGTCTGGGAGACTCCGTTTGGAATCCCCGTACTGCTCCAGAAGCAAACTGCGAGAACACACGGGAATCCTTAAGACTACCTTATAGGAGGCAAAGAAGCCACTGCATACTGAATCAGACCACCTGTCCGTCAAGGTCAGTCCTGTCGACTCAGACTGGAAGCCGCTCTCCAGGGTCTCAAGCCGAGGTCTTTCACATCACCTCCTGCCTGGTCCTTTTTCACTGGAGATGCCAGTGAGTGAACTGGGGGACATCTCCATGCCCAGCAAATGCTCTGCCACTGAGCCACAGCACCTCAACTTTGGGCCAATGACAGGGCTGTTGTGAGGATAAAATGGAATAGCAGAGAATTATGTAAGCTGCTTTGAATCATCAGTGGGAAGAAATGTGGAGTAAAAAGAGAATAAATTTTCTATGTAGGTTAATGGTTGGGTTGGTGGGTGGGAGCTTACTAGAGAAGGAGACATGGAAAGTGGGATGTGCGGGGGCTGCCAGGGGGAGAGAAGCAGGGCAGGGAGGAGAATACACCCACTTCCGGATGCCGATGGGAGCTGCAGGGCCAAAAATGGGAACTGAACCATCCTGGCACAGATGAGCCTGATGAAATCCTTCTTCTGCTTGTAATGGAAGCAAAGTTTTCCTCATGAGAAGAGAGGAAATTGTCACAACACAGAAAGGGAGGATGGGAAGCATCTCTTCTCTACAAACCAAACTGGATCCAGCAACTTCCCTGAGCTTCCAAATCCAGCGTTGTGTTGTGAATAGCGGATGGGTGGCAAACCTACAGCCCCTCAGGCTGGATGCAGCCCCTGCAGGGCTTGTACCTGGCCCACAAACACACCTGGCTCCCTCCTGCTTCCTTCTTTGGGGCTGCGGCTGATGCATTGCAGTTGGCTTCTGGCCACCTCCGTATGCTGCTTCCTTCCAAGACTGCTTCCTTCCAGGCTGAGCCTCCCTTCCTGAGGGCTCCTCCTTTGGGAGAAAGGGAGGGGGAGGCAAAGAGCGAGAGAGAGCTCCGCCCATGAGAGACAGCAAAGTCTGAGTTCCGTGTCTCCTTTAAGACCAGCAACATTTTATTTCAGGTATAAGCTTTCCTATACTTTTTCAGAGGAAGAAGTATATGTGTGTTAAAAGGAAGGGGCACGTTGGGATAAGGGGAAAGGAGGATTAAAAGGAAATTATTTTGCTTATTCTGAAAAGTTAAAAAAAAAAGATTAGATTTCTCTGTGCCTATCTGGGATTTTTTTTCCAAAAAGACCCTAATCAGGGTTAGAAGACTTGGATTGGCTTCCATTGTTCAATGATCCAGTTCCATTGGAGTCCATCGTTTAATAACGGAAGAAGATTGTTTAATAATGGAAGTAGTTGGCTAAGTATTTAAAAATACATTTATGGTATCAAAAATTCATTTATGGTTCATAACACATTTAAGGTACAATCCAAGCCAATTTGGGTCCCCGTAGCAAAGAAAGGAGTGTGTGACATTTGCTCTACACATAATTTTGCTTATAGTTTGATAGGAAAGGATGATCTCTGAGGCTGCTGGTTCATTCCATATCGCAGGAAATCTTTTCTCAGGAGGCAGAGGTAGTCCTGGTAATATCAGCTTGGGAAATTCCTGGAGGTTTGGGGATGGATTCTAGGGAGGGAAGGATACAGGGCAAGGAGGGACTTCAGCTAGGTATTATGATGTAGAGCAGAGGTGCTGAACTGATTTGT